GTATAGAAGTGTGGAAGAGTACGAGGTTTGCGACGCGCGTTAAAGCGCGTCATTGCGAAGTCTGAACGCTGCCTCATTATTTCTGCTTGAGATAATCCTATATCGTTTCTGCAATATTTTTCTTAGATCCAAGGTGCCAAAAATGTTATGTGCTTGCGAGAATATATAGCAAAGGAAGGATATAAACTTGGAGACCATATGATGTATCCAGATAGTGATGAGATAGCTCTCGAACTTTACCATAATCTCACGACTGCTGTGAAAACAACGGGTTACAAAGTGAACATCTTCTTGAAGGAGGTGAGCCCTTTCACTCGTTACAATCCTCAATCACCTCTTCGTCATTTTGAGTTACATGCATCTCTGGAGCTGTCACAATGTAAATGAGGATATTTCCCAGCAGAAAAATTCTTACTATCCCATAGTCGCTAGGTGGCTTTCCAGGAAAGAGAAAGCAAAAAAAATGTGGAGAATATCCTAAGTGGAGGCCCATGGTAGCTTCACTCTACTAGCTCCAGACTTCCTCGTTTTATGCCAACAAAGCGATATCCTGCCGCCCTGGCTTAGCAGTAGTTTCTTCTCCAGTGCTAGTGATATCTAACAATGAAAAAAAGAAAACACGGTGTAAAACTGGATTCGTGGCAGAAAATAGCCTTTGACTTGTGCTGGGGGTGGGGAACTAGGGAGGCGTCAGAACTGTCACTTACCAGGCCGCAGCGCCTTTTCTACTCACTGTAAAGCAACGGGACTCGGACAGTCTTAGAGAGTGCGGAGTGCGGACCAGACTACTTCAACAACGAAGTACGCCTACGAACTGGTTTAGCGCAAAGACCTTTTTAAGCGGAAGGGAGAGAGTAAGAGCACTGGGGCACGTAGATCAGTTATGTCCTGGGAAAGGGAGTCTGTTGTAGCAGTTCAGCGAAACGAGCCTTCAAGAGCATCTTCCTCATCTTTCCACTTGATTTTTTCTATGATTTATTGTTTTTTCTACAGTTCTGAGCCGTTCTTGAACATTGGTGTTCTCTAAGCAGTAATCTCCCCCCCCCCCCCCCGCGCTCCCGCAGATTATCCTACACCCGTGTCTTCTGTGTTCGTTCCACTATTTGAGAAGGTACTGATCTAATTTTTGATTAGTTTGTGGCTCAGCCCTATTAGTGTGATCATCTCAGAGGGGATGATCTCTTCTAATCTGACTTCTTTCACTGACAACTCTCTCTCTCTCACATCATCAGAAAGCTTCTCACATCTAGTTCTTCCTTTGATCGGTTGTAAGCCTATACAAAATAATACATCTCGAATTCAGCAAAATGGCTGATCAAGTACCCACGCTTGAAAAGTTGAAAAGGCTCCCTATTTTGGCAGTGGATCCGGCTCAACTCGTACCTATATCCTGTTTGCGCGCCCAGAATCCTTCCTTTTCCAAGAGTGAAGCTGCTCTTTTCCGTTGAATACAACTGGTAACCCAACTTTCGCTGCAAGGCGGAATATTGGACGAGCTGGTTAGATAGGTATGAGCTGGGCAACATCCGTGACCGAGACCTCCGCCCTTTTTTGGCTTTCTGAGCACGTGTGTCTAATTGCTCGCCTTTCTGCGCATCTTCAATCGCATCCGAATTTTTTGCAAGCAATCCAGGGGCCTTTCTCCATTTTTGTGGCGCCACTGATGAAGTATGACTGCTGCTAGACGATCCAGTCCTAAAAATCATTGGTTTCAATGTTCTTCTCCCGAATCCTCACCTATTCTTCCCTCGAAATGTTTTGTGGGTAACTTAGGCCATTGGCATATGCTTGATTTGTCTGTTGTTCACTTCCTCTTCTCCCTAGCGTTAGTCCCGCTCCGGACCGCTGTTCCTGTTAGACGTCCCCACTTGTTGCTATTGAATGCATCTCCTGCCATAACACTCACTCATTTCCGTGAGGTCCTTCTTCGTGACGTGACGTGACGTCCTTCCATACTTTTCTTTCGGCCGAGGTCGTCACGTCCTGGCACCCCATCTCGCATACTGACCAGAGAACTCGGGCGAGAGCTCAGAGATGAGGAAACCCATGGATATAAGGAAAAATTCTCTTCATTACGAGCCCTCCACTTCTCTTCTGTTTTCTAGAGCTCCCCCCACCTTCCTCCCCTCCCTCCCTCAACATGCGTCGGACGGCGAGGAGTACGTTGTGTGCTTCGAAGCACTGGAAGGTTAAACTGAAAATGAACTCCTCCCCTAATCCAGTGCACGAGTGGACTCGAATTTAAATTCCTTATCCATGAATTGCATTTTATAAGGAATCTTGTGCCATGTGCAATCGGTTGCCCTTTAAGGCATTGTTCACAGTCTGCACCCTGACGAAACGAGGTTGGGCGAAAAGCAAAAAATAGTCAGAATCGCCAACCGCTAGTTTCGCCGAACCGCCGCGGTTCGGCGGTTGGGCGAAAAGCAATAGATGTGTATCGATTTCGCTGGCGAAAAACGCCACCGCGATCGAGCTAGCGTTTTCGTCGAAGGCGAAAAACGTCGCGGTTTGGCGAAACGCCCGTCGATTCGTATCAAAACCCTTTCGCCCAACCGCCAGACTCTTCGCCCAACCGCCAGTCGATACGTATCGAAAGCTTTTCGCCGAACCGCCGCGTTCCAGAGAAACGCTGGACCGCAGACTGTGAACAATGCCTCAAAACAAAATTCAAAGTTTTCGGGTTCAGAATATTCCTGAAAGACTTCACTACACAAATTCTTCACGGATTGGCCGCATAGTTATAGAACCGGAAGTTGGTTGGGCTGCATCTTTTTCCGTGTCATGCACACGAGAGAAACTGCTCGAGTGAGTTGGCAGTTCGTTACATTTGGCATAGGGCCAATTTGAGATTATGGTACTTCAGGACGTATGCACCTGGCAACATCAAGTTTAATTCCTCATCACATGGTATGGACCCTGATCGATGGGAAATGCGTGCAATGCTGGTAATGGGTGGGCCGTCGATAGTACCAGGAAAAAAGGTTTGATTATTGATCGAGTAATCTCGAGTGCCTCAATGTTCACCTGTTTACAGATCAGGGATATTCCTGAAAACATCGAACTTTATCCTCTAATGTGTTATTTGTTGGGAATAGAGGCAGCTCCGCATAACTCGACATCATCTGTGGTCTATCAAGCACTTTTGGCCAAAACCACCAATATACCTTTGATGACCTCCTCTTTTACCGTGAGTCTTTCGATATTTTTTTCAAAATTTCCTGGCGCTAACCTACCTGGATGACTACAGCTACAGTGACTCTGAACGTCCGCGTACTTCTAAGTCTGAATTTGGGGAAGGGAGGGATCACTACGTCGGTTAGCTTGCCGAGCCACCCAGCGCATAGCAGCTTTCCTCGGGCAGTTCTGCTCAAGTTCAGAGGTGCTCGCGAAA